CTGACGGCAGAGGATCCTGCTCCACGTCGGCCGCTTCCAGTGCCTCGTCTTCGGCTGCTGTCTGGGGCCGCTGTGCAAAGGCGCGTGCAGCAGGAGGCGGGCCCAGCTTTGCTAGTGTCGGCGGCTGGGCCTTTGTCGTGGCGCCCAGACCATCGGCCAAGGGTCGTCGAAGAGGGGCCGCCCGCTCCGGTGGTCACCAAATTTGCAATCTCCAGCGTGCGCTGGTCCATCCCGTCTATCCGGGCCGACAGCCCCGGCAAAATGCCCATCAGCGTCTTCATCTGGGCAGCAGGCCTGCTACCGAGGGCTTTTTGGGCTTCGGCGCGGGCTCTGCGGCGGTGGTACCAGAAGGCAGTGCTGAGGCCTCTGTCGGCCCGGCTGAGGTGAAGTCGTGGGCGAGGCTTCTTTGCAGCAACGGCCTGTGGGGCCTCGTCGGCAGAGTAAAAGGTCACACGGTCCAAGGCCTCGACACTAGGTCCTGGATCCAGGCAAGAGCCAGCGAGAGTGCAGCCGCAGGTTCTGGCACCAACTCGGGTGAGGCCGGGTCGAAGGCAACGAGCAGCTCGTAGGGCTCCTCGGCTTCCAACGGCGAAAGGCTTTGGGCAAGCTCGGCCGACACGTCCAGGAGAGTCAGGGGCACAACCCGGCCGGGAGCTGCAGTGAGGCTTCCTGCTTGCAGTGTTGCTGCCGGGCACTCTACCCTGCCGAGATCTCTGAGTCGGCTAGAACGCCTCTGGGGACCCCAAGGAGAAAACCATGGTCCCTTTTCAACAGTACGATGGAGAGGGCCTCGACAGCCCCATCCCCATCTGCCACCTGGTGGTCGAACACGTAGAGCTGCTGGGTCGAGGGGTAAAGGAGCAAGTCCTCCAAGCTCATTCCTGCCTCTGGAGTGGCCATGGTACCTGGGCACCTGCACAGTAGACCTGGGCCTCCAGCTCAGATGGGAAAGCGTGCGAGACTGCAGTGGAGTGTTCGAGGGGCCCCAAGGCTGCAGAGTACTCCTTGAAAGAGCGATACAGAGCAGCACACCCGACCCCCCCAGCACAGCGTAATACCGGGAAGGGATGTTCAGCTGCGGCGAGGCAGCTGGTGTACCGACGACTCCTTGCAGCACCAGGCGCGCCCAGGCACCTGCTTTCCACGCACGAAGGATTCTTTCGCGGCCCGTTAGGTTTGCAGCGGCCGAAAGCGAGGGAGCGCGGTCGAGCCACACAGCAGGGCACACGGCCAAACTAGAAGCAAGCTCTTGCCTCGAAGGGGAGCCTATGGCTCGGGGCCTGTCGCCCTGCAAGGGGTCCTGTGTGACAGGGACGGTGCTGGCAGGGACAACTTCGGGCCTACCTAGGTAGGGAACCTGGGTGGGGTCCTCGGGGGTAAGGGGTCCGGAGATGGGCCCGCGACCTGGCAAGGGAGACCTTGGAGAGTAAGGAGCCCCGGAGGAATCGGAAGGCAGCGCGCTGGCAAAGGCCTGGAGATGCTCCAGGAGTGGCACCACACTCGGTAAGGGCCCTGACACAGTAACCTCGCAAAGTCCAACACGAATGCTCACCTGGGTTAGGTTAGGCTCGCCTTGCATATGAGTAGGCCTGAAGCCTGCGCAGTCCTGACAGAGGGGGGTGCTGCGGGGCCACCAGAGAGATTCCAAAGTCCAAGGCGAAGGGCCAAAACAAGGGTGCCTGCAGACCCCAGGAGCACGCCGATCAGGCGGGGAACAGTAGAAGGGACACCCAAGCCCGTAGAAATTCGAAGTGACCGCCCCCTGAGCAAACCTCAAAACTCCTATCCAATCCATCAGCTTGAGCAGTGAAGATAAGATTCCGCATCCATGCTTACAGTCACAGGGTTTAGGGTTTAGGGGCACAGTTTCTGACAGCGCAGCCGCCCAAAGAGTCGATAATCACTGGATGCTCCTTCTGGCACGGGGAAAGCAAGTCCCATGTAACTGGTTTCTTCCGGTTTAGAAGGGAAGGAACGCCATCAGCAATGCTGACTCCGTTATGCCCGGAACTGACATGGACTGTGGAGCTTTGGGGACTGCACTGTATGGGGGTTTAGGGCTTTGGGCTTAGAGTTAGAATAAGCTCTTGGGGTATACTGTAGTACAGTTCCAATAAGGGACCCCCTAAAGCAACAATGTTGGTAGCAAGTATTTAGGCTTCTGCAGCAGGTACCTCGTTTAAGCGAATGATGAATGCCGCTTGGGGCTTGGGCTTAAGGTAATTAGCATCCTATGGTTAACAGTCTCTTCCTAAACCCTATGATTAAGGAATATCCCTGAAGATATAACAGGAGCCCTGTATAGCATAATTGCTTCATTAAGAGATAACTTGCTCTTTGCATAGTACGCTTAAGAAAAAGGAGAAAGTTCTCTCTGCACCTGCTCATTGAGGGTTCCATTCTTCCGCATGTAGTCCTCCGTGATCATAATGGCCTCACATGATGGGTTTGCTGTTTTCGGTCTAGGGTTTGCTCGCTACGAGTCTGTCCAGAAAAAATAATCAGACCCAAACATGCTTGCCAGACAGAAAATCAAGAACTAGGGAAGGAACTCTACACTTTAGTTAATGAAATCCTCTTTACCTAGACAAGGCACCTCGAACTTTCTAAAGCTCCTCACATCTAAAGCGGCGGTTCGCGGAGGTACTAGAACGGAAAGGAAGTTGGGGGGCGGGAATGGGGTTCGGAGTCGGCGCTCAGCCAAGGGGAACCTGTCATCAAGCCGCCCAACTGGCACAAACCTCAACAGCCATACACAGAGGATTGGAAAACTTTAGGGTTTAGGGTGTACTGACCGAAACTTTTCCGAACAGATGAAGATCCAGCTTCTCTCCTGCACTAGGCAGCTGAAATTCCACAACCCTCCTTGGCCTGATAGCACAAGAACTGGCATAATAATGTGGTCATAATGACCATCATCATCATCATCACCGTCATCATAATCATAGTTCTCCTCACAAACCTAATAGTAGCGGTAGTAGAAGTAGTCGTCGTCGTCGTCGTAGGTA